TGTTTTCCCTCTGCATACAACTTGCTTTGTATGTATTTGTTTGCATGTTGTCTCTCCCACTATATTGTAAAATCCTTGAAAGCAGCGACTGTTTTTGCCTCTTTTGTATCCCCAGCACTTAGCACAGTACCTAGCACATAGTAGGCACTTAATGTTTATTGATTGACTGACCTTCCACTTGGTTTTTCTAGTGTTAACAGTAAGGCCAAACTCTTCTGAGTAATTATGGATATCTACTAGGAGGCTTTGCAATTTTCTGGGGTTTGGTCCAAGCAGTTTGCATTTGGAGGACCTTGCTACCCACTGAGAATCTTCATTTTTAACTAGGAGTATGTGCTGGATCTTTTCAATTACAGTAGTGAATACCTTTGGTAAGCATATAACTCTCTGTTTTATACCTCTTTTGATGTTTATGATCAGAGAGTTGTTGAACAGGGTTCACTTTTGTTGCAATATTTTTCATGGGATCTTGAAATATTCTGATGTATGGAAAGGAGACACCTTGTTAGAAGACAGACTTTAAGGTGCAATTTTGTTCTACTGAGTCAAATGCTTTTTCTATAATCAACAAACAATAAGAATAGGGGAATCTTATATTCCCCATATCTTTCAGGCAATTGCAAGATGGTAAAGATATGATCCATGGTATAACACTGTGGGGAAAGCTTATTTCCCATTTACTGAGGATGCCCTCAATTAGTATACAGATGACTCTTGGAAACAATTCTGTACAGACGGGAGAGCAGGCAGAGAGGCTGGTAGTTATTTATGTTCCTTTAGTTATTTTAGTTCCTTTTGTTCAGTATGAGTTTTTTTCTCTTCTCACCTCCTTCAGATATCTTGTGAATTTAATCATTCAGAGCTCTACTTTTGTTGCTTCTAACATAGATCTCTCATATCAGAGGTTCTTAACATTTTTATGTCATGGACCTTTTTGGCAGACTAGTGAAGCCCCTTCTTAGAATGTTTTAAAATTCATAAAATATTACATATAGGATAAGGAAATAAATTATATTCAAATATAGCTGTCAGAATATTAAAAATATTCATAAATATGAGGTTAAGAACCACTGCCTTATATAAACACTTAGACCAACCAAACTGTTTTCCCTATTTTTTTCTCTTTAGTATCATTTCTATTTCCTGTACAAGCACATCCAAGATTGTGATGTAGGGTCCAATTACAGTGGCTCTGTCTTTGATGGTGAAAACAGTTTATGACATATATATGCATCACAAATAAATATGTAAACAGCTATGCAAAACAATGCAAAGTGAAAAGAGAATGAACTATGCAAAAAAAATAACCCAGTTATAAGTTTGGAAGAGATATAGTGCTGGTTATTTATGAAGCTACACATTAAAGAGTTATATAAATCAGCACTGAAGGCAGGATGATATAGAAGAAAGAACAATGGACCTTTTAGAATCTCTGGCTTCCTTTAAAACCCAGCTCAAATTCTATCTACTTAAGGAGGCCTTTCCTGGTCCCCCCAGGTGCTGGTGCCTTCACCTCTATGGCTATCTTCCACCTACTCTGTATATATCTTACATGTACTTATTTATTTATGTACATGATGTTTCCAGAATTAGAAAGTAAACTCCTGGAAGGTGGGGCCATTTTTGCTTTGTCTTTGTATCCCTGATGTTTTAGTATAATGGCTGGAACACAGAAGGCACTTTATAAATATTTGTTGACTGCCTGACTGATCATTGGCCTCCAAGCGAAACACTTAAAGATTATTTGTTACAAATGTTGGAGAGATTCCTATTCAAGTTGGAATTAATATTATTAGCTAATATTTATATGATACTTTAAGGTTTGCAAAGCACTTTAAAATATTATGTCATTTGATTCTCACGATAACTCTGTGAGGTAGGTGCTATTATTATCCTTATTTTATAGATGAAAAATTGAAGTTATTAAAATAATTTGTCTTGGGACACACAAGTAGTAAGTAAACTCTGATCTTCCTGACTTCAAGTCCAGTACTCTATCCACTGTGCCACTGAGATGACCTTGGAGATCCTTTCCAACTCTGAGATTCTACGGGTCTATGTCTAAGTCTATTTTTTATTGTGAAGGTAATTAAACACAAAAATATTTTAAAAGCAAGTACTCCTATATTCAAATAGTAAGCACAACCCAATTTCTCCCCAAGATCACAGTTCTGAAAATTATAAATTTAGTAACCATCTACAGAAACATTTGAATATATTAATAGGAATGCAAAAGACTGTACAAGAAACCATGAACTTTTGTTATTTATAGATTGTTAAAAACCGAGAGTGTATATTCACTTAACAAGAGAATAACAAAAAACAATCTTGTTTGTTTTCATGGCCCCTTCTAAACTCTTTTCTCCATATATTTTTCCAGATTTTATCATTGTTATTCTTATATAATTATATTCAGTGCATATATTGTCCTGCTTCTGAATTTGTCATTCTGTAAATCTTTATGTAAGTCTTCCCTTACTTTTTTATATTCTTCATTTTTTATGGGACAATAGCATGATTCTGTTGTGCCAGTCCCTAATCACTGGACAAACTCAGATGCTTCCAGTCTTTTCTTTCCTCTTCACTTCCCCAGCAATAACATCTTTAGGATATGCTTCTGGTAGTACCATCATAAGATCAAAGCATATGGTTAGTTTTGTCCTTTGTATTATATAATATTGTGCGAACAGATTGCATAAATAACAGCTCCACCAGTAGTAAAATAGTATGCCTACTTCTCCACAGATCTACTATAATTTTAAACTCTTTGCCAATTTAATGGGTTTAAGATGATATCTCATAATTATTTTAATTTGCATTTTTCCATATGAGAATCTGAACATTTTTCAGCTCATTATGAATAATCTGTATTTCTCTCATGAAATTTATTCACTAAGGCTTAAGTCAAACTTTTAGCTCCCTAGAGATTAATAATTAATGCTGGGATTACATAATAACGTTGATAACAATAGGTGCCACTAATAAAATACCTTCAAATTTACAAAATGCTTTGACATAAAATACTAGTTTTTTTCATATATACTTCTAATTTGACTATCATTTCTAGACCATACACCCAGACCAAAAGGATAACACAGGGCATTTGCACTATATGTCATATTAAATATCCTATAGAAATAGGGACTGTGAGGATGCAGGGGTAGATTGAGACTTAACTTTAAAAATCTAATAGCAATAATGACATTTATATAGTGCTTTAACATTTAAACTCATTTGATCCTCACAGCAAATTATCCCCACTACTGGTAAAAAAAACTGAGACTTAGAGAGCTTACAGTGGCTTGCCCAGGGTCACATAGCTAGTAACTGAGGTGGCATTCAAACCCAGTTATGCCTGACTTCAAATCCATCATTTTATCCATTACACTATACTGATTCTCTATAAAGGGAACATCTATACTGGCATATGTCTATACATTCAGAAATCTGCATGTAATCTTTCATGGTATTGTATGCTTCTATTTGGTAATATATTTAACTTTGTACATATTGTATCTTTCCTACTAGATTATAAACTTTCTGAGGGCAAAGACTGTATCTTAATTTATATGTGTACATCTCAAATCAGGGCTTAATTTATTGAGATGAATTACCAATAAACTACCAATTTACTGAAATAATTACCAATAAATAAGACTGAATAATTACTAAAGTATCTCTAGGGAAACTGATTAACAGAATAAAACAATGGTACTCTAGGGACAAGTATTCTTAGGGAATTATACAGGAAAAGTTCTTTCTGCTTTACATAGGGATCACATTAAAGGAGACAGATCATTTTTAATCTCAATTAAGGGGTTTGAAAGCATGTATCATATCTTGATTGGAAAATGGATGTAATAATATACAGACTACCTTGACAAGAAAGCTTGTAGATTCTTCAAATGACAGAGCTAGAAGAGATCTTACAGTTCATCTAATCCAACCTCTTCATTTCATAGGTGAGGAAAACACAGAAGCCTACAGAGGAGCCTAAAATCACATTATCAATGGTAGAGCTGAGACCAGAATATAGGATCCCTGATTTTTAGTCTTGCACACACCATGGAGTCTCCCCATAAATATCTTTACCATACTTTTGGGAACCTTTTCTTTTGATATCTTTTAGCACGTGATTATATTTCATACAGGATTATTTGTTTCATGACTGCTAAGATAACTACTGTATCATTACTTGGTTTTTGCTGGAAGGTAATTTCTTACTGTATACATGGATTACATTTTTTGAGGTGTATTTAATAGGTTCATCTATCTATCCCAAGTCATTGTCAAACAGTAAGGAGAGGGAGAAAGAGAGTGTGTCTCAGTCCCATACACATACCCTCTTCCTACTCAGTAGCAACTCTCAATTGCTAAATGAGGGGAAAAGGAGTATTTCCAACCTCCTCTGAGGAGCAACATTTTCTCTGGGGAAAAGTATTTGAACTAAATGTTATTTCACTATATTTTGGTAGCTTTAGGATTTATTATCTTCTTTAGTAAAATAATATACTAGAAAATAGAAAGGAGATTTCAGAAGCAAACTAATGACTTTAATAAAATAACACACGCAACATCTCTCAGAAACTTTTGAATATCCTCAAAGAAAGGGAGAACAGAGATGATTTGGACTAACTGAAATTCACATTTACCTCCTTTCAGCTCTCTTCTTTGAACTTTTCAGTTTTTTCTCTCCCTTGCCTGGCATGGTAAAGAGGTATAAAGGAGGAGGGAGAACAAATCTCTACTAGTAAAGTTTGCTATTTGCTATATATTCTTGTTATTACTTATTTTTAAAAATAGCTGAAAAGAACATTTGGATTATTTTCAGATCTTCTTTCTCTATTCTTATTTATCATCTCTTATTGAGGATAATGGAGTAGGGAAGTGATGAAAGTTGTTTCATTTCAATTTAATTATCAAAGCCAGTAAATATGAGAAAAAATACAGAGTTACCTCAAAACAGATACTTTGGAGAGAAAACACTTTGATTCACACACCTTGAAGTACACTGTTCCCTTCTCTTTGACAATAGCAGCTTGTTCAAGTTTTTCTTTGGTGTCCATCTCCCAAGATTCTTTGGCCTGTAGATAACATTTGTAATAATAATTAGATGATAGCATAGATTATAGTATAACCTTGAGGCTCTTTCGCTCTTTAACCAACAGAAACCTTTAAATAATAATTTAGATTTTAAAAAATATAGCTTAAATCTAATTGCCACTGCCGAAATTCTACATCTGACTAATGTTTATAACACTGTTTGAAGAATTAACTCTCCGTGGTTAATCATCCAACGAACCAACAAGTCAGTTACATGCTAGGTGCCAGGGATATAAAGATAAGGAGCTTATTCAGATATACCATAAATATAAAATTAATACAAGGAAATTTAGGGAAGGAAGTCAGCATTTGGGGGCAGTCTTTGTATAGAAAGTGGTCCTTGTGCTGAGTCTTGGAGGAAGTAAGGAATTTTACGTGGTAGACATGAATACATTCTATGCATGGGGAATGGCCAGTAAAAAGTAAAAAGAAAAGTGATACAGCACTCTTTTTATGTGTGAAGAGTAGAAAGAAAATCAAGTTTTGATGGACTGTAGAGTGTGGAAAAGGGATGTACAACAAGCCTGGAAAGGTAGTTGGGGGCCAGATTGTAAAGGGCCTTAAAAGCCAAAAAAGGGAATTTATTTGATTCTAGAGACAATAGGGAGCCAACTGAGTTTAGTGAATAGTAGAGTGACATGGTCATCTGGCAGCTGTGTAGAGGATAAATTAGAGAGGGGAGAGAATTAAAGCAAGATTATCATTAAAAGGCCAGTACAACCAAACAGGCAAGAGGTGATGAGGGTCTAAACTAGACTGGAGGCTATGTGAGTAGTAAGAATGAGACTGATGCAAGAAATGTTGTTTTACTAGATTTGGCAACTTACTGTATATAAAGGGCAAGGAAGAATGAAGAGTTAAGGGTAACATGAAGATTTTTAATCTGGGAGACTGCAAGGATGGTGGTACTCTCAATAGAATTAGGGAGGTCTGGAGGAGCAGTAGGTTTTTTTTTTGTTGTTGTTGTTGTTGTTGCTTTTTGGTGAAGCAATCAGGGTTAAGTGAGTTGCCCAGGGTCACACAGCTAGTAAGTGTCAAATGTCTGAGGCTAGATTTGAACTCGGGTCCTCCTGACTCCAAGGCTGGAGCTCTATCCACTGTGCCACCTAGCTGCCCCAGAGTAGTAGGTTTTTGAGGAAAGTATAATGAGTTCTATTTTGGAGAGGTCAAATTTAAGATGTCTATGTGATGCCTAGTTTGAAACATCCAATATGTGATGCAGGAGAGGGACTCGAGCTGAATATACAGGATGTCCCAAAAGTCTTAGTGCAGCTATAAGCTTTAATAATTTCAGAAGAAAATGCTACAAACTTAAAAAGATATCATTTGAAAGTTTAGTTATTTTAATTTATTTAATACTTGTGTAGTTGTGAATTTTGAACAATAATTCTTAAATTTAAATTTTAACAAGATGGGACACTATGTCATTATGTGTGCAACAGTTTCTGGATAACATGGACCACTGGATTGGTAGAGGAAATCTTCTTGCTTGGCCACTCCAGTCACCTAACTGATCTTCTTGATCACGAGTCTTCTTCTTATAGGGTCATGTCAAAACTATCATGTATGTATCACAACACCTTATTCTTTGAATCATCTTAAGGCTATGATTACATAGTCACTTTCAGTCACTGAGTAGCAGTTGATGAAAGTTTGAAAAATGATTATAGCAATAACAAAAAAACAGTGGGTATGCTGGATTTTAATAAGAAACGTCCATATTTTGAAAATATATGAAAATTTAAATAATTAACTTTTCAGATTTTTTTTATAAGTTGGCAACATTTATACTTCTGAAGTTATGAAACCTTTAAATTGCACTAAGACTTTTGGGGCATCCTGTATAGATCTGGGAGCCATCTACATAGTGATGATAATTAAACCTATGGAAAGGAAATAGACATTTATTAAATGTCTGCTATGTGCCAGCTTAAGAGTTTTATAACTATTATCTCATTTTATCCTCTTAACAACCTTGTGAGTTAGGTGATATTATTATGCCCATTTTATAATTGAGGCAGACAGAGGTTAAGTGACTTGCCCAGGATCACACAGGTAGAAAGTGTCTAAGGCCAAATTTGAACTTAGGACTCCCTGATTTGACATGCAACTCTATCCTCTGTGCCACCAGTTGTCCTGTGAGCTGATAGGGCCACAAAGTGAGAGTAAAGAGACAGGAAAACCTGTACCAGAGCCCTGGAGTACATGGCACACCTGTAGTTAAAGGGTGTGATAAATAGATGGTGACAGGATAAATTAAGGCCTCTCACTACAGCAATTGAAATTAGAGCTCCTTGAGCTCAAAGAGTTTAAAAATGAGAATCCTTGATCAATTTCTCCCATCCATTTTAATTCCTTCATTTGACAATAAATGCCTCTCCAAATGACTGCTTTTGTGACAATCTAAGTGTCTACACTAGAAAGAGAAAAATGCAAAAGACTTTTGTCCAAGGGAGAGACATTCTTTACAATGGGCCAGAAGTAGGAGTGAGATATAGGTGATAGTATAGTGATTTCCCAATATTGCAATTATGTGGCAATTCCAAAGATGGCTTCCCAGCTTTCCCTTTTTGTAAAAGAAAGGCTCCATTTCTGACATATTATAGATCTTCCTTCATTTTCAGGAGTTTCAAGACAGTGATTAGTGGAGCAAGGATGTATTCTGCTACCTCCACTTTCAAATCTATTCTTTGGGATCTCTGAGTAAAGTAACTGGCTAAGGAGGCTGAAAGTACAAGAGTATGGGATTAAAATGGTCATTGGTTTACCCAAGGTTAACTAACGAGGGGGAGGTGGATGGTGAAGGGTGGTCAAAATGCTGCAGAGAGGCCTAGAAGGGTGGAGAATGAGAAAAGACTACCAGATTGTTTTCCTTCAGACAGCCAAGAAGATCTGATTTCACCAATCATTAGAAAATAATTGAGACAAAACTACTCCTGATGTTCTCTCTAGTAGTCATAGGCCTTATACCTGTCTTTTTGGGAGTCCCAAGGTAGCCAGAAAACTAGGTCTGAGTAAGTATGAAACTTCTGGGGTCTATGGTAAGCTATAAAAAAATCCTCTATTTTCTTTCTCATTTGAGCAGATGAAAAGACTCCATAGTGAGAAGGCTTATCAGTCTCTGTTGGCATAGAACATGGCAAACTGTACTCCCCTGTATGTTAGCTAGTAGCGTGGAGCTCTTTACTGAAGGTCTCATCTCAAGATTCCTGCAAGGGTACAATCCGTTCAGAACTAAAAAAGTGCCCTCCCCATGGAAGTGCTTGGCAGAGCATGAACTTTTTTGTCCTCAACCCAGAAAATAGTACAAAAAGAGCAAGTCTAGGAACAAATAAAGGAACAAGTCTTGGATTTCACCCAAAAACAGTGAAATACGCTGACACACACCAACAAAATAAGAGCAGTGAGGCCCTCAGTTGGTATATTAGCTATGTTGTACTGTTATTGATGTGCAAAAGCCAAACTCCAAACTCCATAGTAACCAACATAACGCATACAAACACAGATATTTACCTATTGACATAAACTACTGCTTGGGGGATGCAGAGGGAAGGAATTGTATCACTTTTGAAGTCTTTATCGTCTTACCTTTTCGAAGCTCTTAAGAATAACTTCATATACAAGTTCAGCATTAGGCTCAATGCCAAATTCAGGTTTCCCAGCCTCTCCAAAGCCATATCTGAAATGAAGGACAGAAACTAGGACTTCAAAGAGAATCAGTATACTTTTGGGTACCGGGTTCTGTCTTTCAAAGCATCACTCTACTATAGAACTATCATTAATTTGCAAGCTACATACATCAAAGACAAACTAGATGTTGACTAGGAAACATGGTACCAACTATTCCCTTTGCAGTTTTTAGAAGCTGGATCCAAGTTACTGTTATTTCACCTTCAATTCAGAAGGAATGCAATACCTTTACTACTTGGGAGAGCTTATGCAATGTGATTTTAAATATTGTTATATTCTTTTTTTGGGGGGGGGGGAGGCAATTGGGGTTATAACTTGCCCAGAGTCATACAGCTAGTCTGACGCTGTATTTGAACTCAGGTCCTCCTTACTCCAGGGCTGGTGCTCTATCCACTGCACCACTTAGCTGCTCCTATATTCTTTTAATTACAGTGGCATTTACCTGTTCTTTAACAAAGAACAGCCCTCCTTGTGGGATAAGCATTTAATGAGTTTTATCAAAAGGGATGCTAGAGCAAAAGAGAACCATTGTTGCAGCTGGACTGGTATTTGGCAGAGATATTTTTAAAGTCATTTACAAGAAAGTGTAGCTTTAAAAGAGTGTCACTTCCAACTAGATCAAAGAAAACGTGGTTCATATTTCAGAAAAGGAAATATGTTCTTGTACTTCTTCAAGTTTTTTTTAATGGGAATCACAGATAATACAAATAATCAAAGTTGCAAGCTTTGGAGGAGATTTCTATCCTCTTTATTTATTTGAACTGACACATTTTAACACAATAGACACTTCCCAACAAAGATAGAAACAAACCCTCCTACAAAGCATATTTCCCTACGAAGTTATATAAAACTGCCTAATCCTGTCATTGCTACTCAAGTCTAGATCCTCTTCACAATACATCTCCTTATACAATTCTATAGTAATGTCACTCTAATGTCAATAATCTCCTTACTTGGAGGAGGTTACCATATCAATTAGGAAACATTTCTTAAGCTAGACCAGCAGCATTTATGATCACTGTTACTAAAACGACAGACAAAGGGTAATAAGACACAAAAAATGTTCTCCTCAGAGCCTCTGTAGGTCTCCAAGAGTTTTAAGCTTAGAAGTGCTAATGGTTCAACTCAAGATGGGAAAAATGTAGGCAAAAATGAGTCATCTCCTGGTTGCTGCCTTTAGATCCAGGAAGTACATACTTTCTTACAGAGGACCAATATTAGAACGGGTGGCACATGTTCAAGTGGGTAGTAAATCAACTATGGGCCTCTTCTCCCACCACTACTGTACTATATTTAGAGAAAGGAGGAAGAAAATGACGGAGGCTAGATGAGTGGAGTCAACAGCAGCCTTCTAGGTTCTTCTGCCAATGGCTGTATGGAAGAAAGGAAAACGATACCTTATTCTGTTAGTCCTGCCTATGAAAACAAGCAAACAAGTCACAAAATTCTTTTTAATAGTAATAGTTTACATTTGCACAGCACTATGAGGCTTCCAAAGTGTTTCATGTATGCCACCTCACTTGATCCTCACAACAGCCTTTACAAATATGAACAACAGATATTAATATCCTCATTTTACAGATTGAGGAAACTGAAGCATAGAAAGATTAAGTGATTTGTCCATTCACATAACCTGTAAATAAATGTCACAAGTGGGATTCAAAACCAAATCTCTTTTGACTCCAAGTTTGATACTCTTTTCTACTATATAGCATACTGTTACTCTAATTAAATGAGCTTAGAACTTGCAACTTGGATGAAGATAATTTATTATTAATTTATTACCCTTGCTCCAAGGTCTCTAGTAATCTTAAATTAATTGTTTTAACTACTAATATCAATTTAAGTTGAGAATAGCCTCAAGCTCAAGAGACTGAGTATGGTTTTATATTTCAGATGATCTTACTGTATATGCTGGTCAGGCATATTACTTACCGTGGTCCAAGATACAAAATACAATGTTCTTCTCTCTGCATTTTCTCTAGGGCTTTGTCAATTCCTATGGGAATGTCATGGTCTTCCCCTTCTCCAACAACAAATACTACATCTCTGCAATCAAATGTCCTGTTACCACAAGAGCCTTCCAGGTGGACTGAAATTAAAGAGAGAGAGAAGTCATTAAAATACCACAAAAGTAAGCAAAAAGCAGCACGTTTTCCTCATCAGTTCATTTTTTTTTTCTCTTTTAAAAGACTGTTTTTCCCTATGTTGTCCAGGCTGGAAGTGCAGGGCTGCTAATGGATCTGATCTCACTACTGCTCAGCATGGAAGCTTTGATTTGCTCCATTTCCAACACATAGAGCTGCCATAGTTGCTAGATTGAGTGCAGCATCTGACTGGCTTAGCCCACTGCAGCTCAGAACTACCAAGCTCAGGAGATCCACCAACTCTCAGCTTCCCTGGTAACTGGGTTTAAAGGCACATGCCTACTCACTGGTTTCTCCTATGTTTATTAAGATAAATATTTAACACATCTTTTCAAATTCCAGTTTCCCCAATTCTGAAATTGTGACTATTACCACTTTCTGTTTCAAGTTCAGAGTTTTAAGAATTGATAATTAAATTGGTGAGGTAAAAAAGCAAACTGAAAATGGGCTATAAATGGACTCATTTTGTGATTGTGGAGAACCCATTCAATCTCTAAGTCTTCACTAGGAAAAGACAGTTGATAATACTCCATTTTTGAAATAATAACTATAAAATGCCTGGAACTAAAGATCTCACCCCTGTGACTCTAGGTTCTGATTGGTCATTTCACCTAGTCTTAGCCCTTAAAACCACTTCTTCACCATCTCTAGACCATGTCATTAAGAACCTCTCCTTCCTGTTTTCAACTCTAGCTTTGAAAGCAATAATCAAATTAACATTACCATTCCTAGCAACAGATTGCCTTATTACTCCAATCAATATTTTGAATTCTTCCTCTATCCAAAACACTCCCCTTTACAGGTTGTCTTTCTCTTATTATAATGTAAGTGTCATGAAGGCTGGGACGCTCTTGCTTTCTGGCAATTCTTCAGCATTTATCAAGATGTCTGGAATACACTAAGTACCTAATAAACACTTTTTATTCATTCAGCTGGGTATAAATTTTTTTTTCCTTAAATGATATCTGTCTTAGAAAAAATGTCTGCTCCCAAAATATAATACCCTGATTAACTCTTCCCTATAGGGCTTCTAAGACTAGATCTATATAAGGCCAATATTTGTTTTTTTGGACCTTGAAAAAATACTAGTTCTATCCCACTGTTCTCTGAGCCAAATTCTAGTTTTTCATTACTGTAAAAAAAATGTTAATACTAATCTAATTCTAACATACTTCACTTAGGATTACATACTCTCTTTCGTTCTAGCCAACTCTAAGCTTCTTTGATTTCATGATCTAGTGAAGACTTAGAAAGATCAGGAAACAGACTTAAAGCCAATGTTTGAGGTTAATTGAGTAACCTTCATTCTAGCCCTGGGAATTTAAAGAAAAGCTGTCAGAATTACAACAGTGTACCCAGCATCGTAACAAAATACAACCACCCAAAAAAAAAAAAACCCAAGAAAAAAAAAAAGAAAAATGTGTGCTTAGAAATGCTGAACTCACTCTGTTAAACTCACTAACAATTTTTTCATCCCTGGTATAGAAGTGAAGTGAACCTAATTTCATAGGTTAATGGTCCAACCAGTTTCTTATAGGATCGACCCAGGGATGAGACTAGATGATCTCTCAGGGCTCCTCTGATCAAGAGACTTAACTAAGATGGTTTAGTTGGAGTGGAACAATGACTAGGCTGGCTTTTAAGAGGGCGAGGAAACTGGTGTGGTGTGGTGTGGTGTGGTGTGGTAGTGGTGGTGGTGGTGGTGAGTTGGTGAGTGTGTGAGAGTGTGTGTGTGTGTGTGTGTATATGTATGTGTGTGTGTGTGACTGGCATAGGCAAATATCATGTACCACATTCAACACTAAAAAACGGACAATGTCATTTATTTGTAATCTTCAAAATGGTCCAAATTTAGTAAATCCTAAGTAGTTCAAAAGTAAAACCTAGGTAATTCAAAAATTCATATTGAAAAGGCTGGAATTAAAGAACACATATTTTAGAGGAATATAGTTTGATCAACATCCATGTGCTGGGCTTGGAATCCGGAAAACCAGGATTCAAATCCCATTTCTCATACTTATTAGCTGTGTGAGCCTGGGCAAGTCACAACCTCTAGCTGCTTTATGCTTTATGTGCTCTGGGACTTGTTTACTAAATGAAGGGAGTTCCCTAAGCTGACAAAATGACAAATTCTTCCTACAGTTTATTTTAATTTGTTTTTTTCTTGGTGAGGCAATCAGGGTTAAGTGACTTGCCCAGAGTCACATAGCTAGTAAGTACTTGCGTCTGAGGCCACATTTGAATTCAGGTCCTCCTTACTCCAGGGCCAGTGCTCTATCCATTGCACCACCTAGCCACCCCCAGTTTATTTTATTTAAGAAAAAAATTTTTTTTTCTAAACTTAAATACCAACAAAGGAGCATTTTTATACACACAGAACACACAAAAAAGGATTCGAGATAAAATCATTTCTTTTGCTTTACATAATTTTTCTAACATGTATCTTCTCCTGACCTCCTCCCTTCCAATTAAAAACAGAGTAAAAGAAAAAAAAAAGAATGCTGTGAACAAGTAAGCACAGCTGTCTATACAATGTTGGGGATTTGAGCAAATCCAAAAATTTATGTCTCTGCACCTTATGTCCATTCTGTCTCTGTCAGGAGGTGAGTGGACCTTCATGGTCACTGCACCATTAAGAGTTCTTAAGTCATTCAAAGTTGTTTTTTCTTGACATTGTTGCTGTCCTGGTATGAATTGTTTTCCTGGTTTTTGTTACTTCACTCTGTGTTAATTCATATAATCCAAGATTCTCTGAAATCAGCCCTTTTTGTCATTTCTTATGGTGCAATAATATTCCATTACCTTCATATACCACAGTTTTTTAACTACTCCCTAGTTGTCTAAGGGGCACCCTAAAGCACCCCTCTTAGATTCTGCCTCTTTGTAAATAAATCCCAGTTTCAGGATCAGAAAGTTTGTTTGTTTCTGTGACTATTTGTCTCCTCGTTTTATCTTCCCTCTTAATCCTCCTCACTTCTATGTCCATTTATTTCTCTGTTGATTTTGATGTATTCCTACACCAGATTTTATGTGTATCTGTATGTTTAAATTGGATCATTTCATAAGAGTTAAGGTTGATCTTAAGCCCACTTCTCCCAGATTTTCCTCTGTGTGTGCTCCTTATCCTGTTTCTTATGTGCTCCAATGAGAAAATGGCAAATTCCAACCCCTTTCCTTCCTCTTTACTCTAGTGTACTTCTTTTCTCCTCCTACCCTCCTCCTCTTTTCCCTCTTCAGACCCTTGAATAAAACCAATCTGCTCTTAAGACCACTGCTTTTCTTATTTAGCTTCCTCAACACCCTTTGAAGATGTTAAGGTTCTGAAAGGATACTGTTTCTTCTCCCCCATTAGAATGTTGTCATTGTATCATCATACAGCTCCTACCAATTGCTTGAATAAATTTATTTTTCTAGGTTTTTCTTGCCTTCGTATTTCAAAGTTCCTACTCAACTCTGGTTTTTTCATCAAGAATGCTTGAAAGTTCTATATTCCATTTAAAAGTCTATTTTTAACCTTGTAAGACTATACTTAGCTTTGCTGGGTAAGTAATTTTTGGTGGTAAGGCTGTCTCTTTCGCCTTTTAGAATATTATATTCTAAATCTCCTTTACTTTCTAGTAGTATCTGCCAGGTCTTGTGTGATCCTTACTGGAGTTCCTTGGTACTTGAACTGCTTCTTTTTGGACGTTTGTAATAATTTTTCTTTGACCTGGGAACTATGGATTTTGGCTATGACATTTCTGGGATTTTCCCCTTTGGCATCCCTTTCAGGAGATAATCAGTAGATTCTTTCTATCTTTATTTTGCCCCCTGGTTTTAATAGATCTGGACACTTTTAATTTATGATTTCTTGAAATATACTGTCCAGACCTTCTTTTTAACCTTTTTTTCCCCATGGTTTTCAGTGAGTTTAGTTATTCTTGAATTATCCCTCAACCTCTTTTCCAGGTCAGTTTGTTTTGATATTAAATACCTCACACTTTTAAAATTTTTTTTTCAGTCTTGATTTTGTTCTAATGTTTTTTGCTGCCTCCTGTTGTCAGTGATTTCTGTTTGGTTAATTCTAGTTTTTAGAGAGTTCATTTCTTGGGTAAGGTTTACGACTGTCTCTTCTAAGCTAAATATTCTCCTTCCAATTCGTATCTCTTCCTTCATTTCTTCTTTCATGTAGTCCTTGTGAGAAAAATTTTTTTTTACTTTGGGTTTGTGCTTACATGTGTTGTGGAATTATTCAGTTTTTCTTTTGGGTGATCTCTAGATTTGCAATAATTTTGATAATGGTCAGTGTTTTCTTTGACATCCTCATCTCTCCTAAACTGGGGCTTTGTGTCAGAGTCAGGTTCCATCCCTTGCTGGGGCTTTTGGGTGTAGTGATCAGCCTTGTTTGGTCTTACCCTGGGTTCTGGTACTTTCCTCTGCCTCCCGGGACTAGCCCTCCATGAATTTTGAGGTTGGGAACACTGTATCTTCAGGGCTCTTTCTCTGGCGTCTAAGGACAGACTATTAGGAACCTCAGAGTCCCTGGGACCAGGAGTGTCTTGGTTTGAGCCCTGTAACACCATGCTAGTTGGCATTGCATTGGCTGCTTGGTCCCTGAATGCAGCTACTCCTCCTAAGACTTCCAAGGTTCCTACCCTGAGGCTTTCTCAGAGGAAACCATCATAACTCTGAACCCTGAATCTTACATGCTCTGCCTTTTTGCCAGTATTGTTGACGCAAAATTTGATAGAGGAATTCCCTTTCCTATGAGATTTTAGCTAACTTTTGTGCAGTTCTGGGGTAGAAGTCACTTACTGTAATTTCTCATTGGATTTCTTGATCATTATTCAGTCTTATATTAATTTCAACATTTTGCTAGAGTAGGTTTATAGAAGCTGGGCTATCTGCCTCCTGTTTCAGGTAGCCATCTTGGAAGAAAAGTTGGTTAGATTACTTTCAGGTTCTT